AGGCGCCCCCCCCCCAGCCCCACCTTGCTCCCTGCAGCAGGGAGCGGGGCTGAGCCTGATCCTGCTTGCTGGTTGCTTGAGGGCTTGGGAGGGGCTTGAGGCAGGTTTGGGGGTGCCCATGCTGTGCTGAGGGTACCCCTTGTTCTCCAGGCCTACCAGAAGTGGGTGCGGGAGCACGGCCCTGAGCACCCCTTACACCACCTGAAATACACGCACGACCAGCTCTTCTTCATCGCCTTCGCTCAGGTGAGCCCCTGCCCTCCCCATGTGTGGCATGCACTGGGGTGGGGGGGACACCCTGTGTGGGGCCGGTGGCCCTGAGGGACAGCGCAGGAGCCCTGGGGGACCTGATGCTTATGGTCAGGAGCCAGGCTCAGCCCCATCATCAGCAGGTCCTGGGCTCAGGGTACAGGGTTCAGCCCTGCAAGGAGCACCCCACACAGCCCCGCTGCTCCCGAGGACCCTACAATAACAAACATGTGCTCCCCAACACCTCCAGAGACCCCACAGTAACAAATGCACATGGCCCTAGGAAGTCCTAGGAGACCTTATGGCCAGGCAGCCCACAATCCCAGGAGACCCTACGATAACAAACGTGCCCCTATGCTCTCCCAACCCATCTATACCACGTACACGGGCTCCCAGGGGACCTTACCGTAACAAGTACAACCAGGGCATCGCTGCCCTGGTCCCCCAGCAGCCAGAAGGGCTGCCATGCCCTGGTGGGTGCCAGGACCCCATGGGCCCCGGTGGGTGCTGGGAGCCGGGTTGCCCCACCCAGGTCACCCTCGGGTTCCTTTCTCCCCACAGAACTGGTGCATCAAGCGACGATCCCAGTCCATCTACCTGCAGGTGCTGACAGACAAGCATGCCCCGGAGCACTACAGGTACCAGCTGGCCCCAAAATGGCGGGTGCCAGCCTTCCCCATGGCTGGTGGTGCCGTGCAAAGTGGAGTGGGCACCCTTTGGGGTGCTGGCACCAGCTGGCTCTGGGTGCGCATCCCTGGGGTAGGGGATGGGGTGCTGCTGGGGTGAGCGGGTGCCCCAAGCAGGGTGCTTGGCAGGGGGTGCCTGGCTCTGAGTTGCCCCCCTCTCCTGGCAGGGTCCTGGGCAGCGTCTCGCAGTTTGAGGAGTTCGGACGGGTTTTCCACTGCCCCAAGAACTCGCCCATGAACCCGGCACACAAGTGCTCAGTGTGGT